CTAATTGAAATGACGTGATGGCTAAAGACGTTGGGAAACAATAGTTTAAAACGCTTCTAACTAAAAAAGCCAAGATGTTTTAACACTAAAAATACTCTAGACCCCAAAAACATAACATTTATTCTGCCACAGTTTTATGAACTAATTACTGTATTTGACCTACTTCTGCACTACTCTTCTTTTGAGCTGCATCCATCAATTTAAAACGGCAACGACAGTTGGAGGGTGTTCCTAAGAAATGATATGGGAATCCACTGTATTCAAGAGTAGACCAATTGCCTGTAACAAACAATTTTGAAAACGATTTCAGAATACAGATGCTTAAAATGAATTTAGAAGCTAGCAGGACCACTCCATAGTGTTCGGCTGATCTTTCAAGAACTTCTCAGTTTTAAACAAATAGTATCACTAAATGCCGCCAGCAGATAAAACACAATTAACAGGAAAATAAATTTCATTGTTAGTTGTACTTCGACAACGTTAGAAAATTCCCCAGGCCTAATGTACAGATAATGCTTCGAATTTGTATCTTCCTACAATGCCTGATACTTTTGAGCTCAACTAAAAAAACATCTTTCTTAACCCTAGAAAAATGTGCCAATAAACTAGTCATTTTCGTCAAGAACGAAAAATAAAAAACGGCGTCTATAAGAGAAATCATATTTTAAAAATATGCCCAATCGTCTTCTTTCTCCCTCCCAAACACTTCGACGGCTGTAAATCTCAGACACAGTGCCAATCCGTAATAAACTTTTAAATCACAAAAAAAATCTTACATTAAAAGTTTTTGGATAAACTTATAAATTCTCCTGCACACCATATCGTGAACTTTCCCAAAATAAGGTTGCTTACAAAAAATAATAAGAAATCCTTCCAATTACAATCTGCACCAATTATCCCCTCACGGCTAAAAGAGTCCTGACTAGCTAAAGGAACCTTCAAATGAACGAACGGTGGCCATATATAATGACCTAGCCACGTCCAGACTTCACGGTGAACATTAAAACTATAATCCCTTACCCTCAATACGTGAACAGATCTGCGGCTCTTCAGTCACAAAGATGGAAAATGGAAGTACCTCAGTCCCACCAGCGAATTCACCTGGTTGATATGACGTATGAGTGAACTAAAATAATTAGAAATAAATATACTGTTGAATGATGTTTTAAAAGCTTCTTGATTTTAGAAGAGAAATTACACAATCATTCTAAAAATAAATATCTGTATTTATCTCTTGCCATAAAATTGATGAGAACCATTTCAATATGAAAAAAACCTCCCACTCTGTTTCGAAGATCTCTCAACTCGTAGATGACAACTTCATGAGGTTTTTTTCGAAAAACAATAACCATCTCTCCAATGACATTAACATTAACAACTTCTCCAAATATCTAAAGACAAAATGACAGGAAAAAAAATAACCATCAGAACGGAATATAAAATGATCCCTCCAACGATAAAACTCTTATTTCCAACTACCGCAAAGCGCAAAAACAAACAAAAGAAGATCAGTCAATGGCACTTAGCTAAGCGTTGTTTATTATCACAAATTTTTATTCTCTACTAAACGATAAAATTAAAACACTCACTTCTTTTGGCATTTTAAACATGCCATTAAAAGTAAGCGGATAGACAGTAAACATAGCTATCACATATTCACGACCGGTATTCTACAATTATAACAAATTATAAATTACTATACACGTAAGTGTTAAAAATAGCAAAGAAATGGTTCAATTCTTTTATCAGTTAGCAAAAACATACAGGAGGCCTCAAGGCTGGAAAGACTTGCCCGTACACCGAAAAAGATTTGTTTGCTTCATTCGGATACATTGAACTGAAACACACTGCAAGGATTTACAAACAGCACACTAGACAACGGCTAAGGGAAGCAAGGTGCAGAGAAACTCAAAGATTCTAAAGGAAGAGTCGAATCATAAAGACAATCCATACGAATAGTTCTAAAACTCACTTAAATTTGACTTCCTGAACAGGAAGAAGGAATTGAGCTAATAAATCACCATTTCTTAAATTTAAAACTAAAAGTCGTCCAAGATTTGTAAGAATTATTAGCCAATCAGGAGATTCACCCGGAGGAATAGCCTAAATTCAAAAAAATAAATCCTCAGAAGGAAAATATATAAAACTGAACAGAAACCACTAGTAATAAAAAGATCTATCCTGTCACCGAAGTATAAGAATCTTAAAAAAACCAACCGATAAACTATTTGAAGAAAACTACATTAATATCACAATAACAACAGCGCAAACTGCATATAAAATACATGCAGATAAAGTGTTGATAGTTTTCAAAAAAAAAACTGTTTCCAAAAGAAAATATTATAAATAATTAATAGTAGCAAATCGACACTTTCTGAACCCTACCGTATTTTCCAGTGGAAACTGTAAAAATAACGAAGTAATGATGGTCTCGTGATCAAGTAATACCCGCAATACAAATATTTCTTTTCCTAGTTCTAGATTATAAATCGAATGTTGTTTATGTGACACCATTATTTGCCTGAAGTATTGAAGCTATTAATTTTATTCCTTCTAAAAATCTTAGTGCGAAAAGTTATCTAATGAAATTTCTTCCCGAGTACCAGAAAAAATTTGGTCTACAACTGAACAAAACTTCTTTAAAGAGCAATTAGCAGAAAACTGTGAAAACTTACTACTAGCTCTTGAAAATATTGTCTTGGAATAAAAGTAAGTACAGCAAAAAAGAAAACTTATTTAAACAGCAAGTCACATCTTATTTTACCACTACAACACAAATCATGATTATTAACCGCGAAACGAAAAGATACCCAAAAACGCTAAACAACCCTCTGTCGTGATACGTTTCACAAAACTGATACGTCCGGTTCCTCTGAAATAGTCTAAGTCAGTATCTAAGCGGCACTTCAGTCAAACAATGTCAGTTCCAAAAAGAAAAACAATAAAAGAACAACATTTTTACTAGAACATTCAAAGTCGCCTACAACACAAAATACAGTAAACAATATTGAGTTTCTTTGAGTTACACTCTAATATTAAATAACGTAACAGATGCTATTCTACACTAACATTTATTATTAGAGCACGTTGCATCCCACGCTGAAACGTCATTGGAGGCATACGATGTCCAAACTCACGACATCTTAAAAGGGAACACATAGAAGCTTCAGGCCGCATTGGCGGATTTTCAGAACCAGTACGTTGAAGACATTTAAGAAGCCTTTCTGTCAACTAAAAAAACCCAATGTTAAATGAACGATTTATAGCAAAGCATGAAAAAGCAGTGTTAGATCCTATGATGATGAAAACAGGGCGAACCGACACACCTGACTCAATGATCTATTAGTCAAGCATTGACTTTGAAGTTCCAAAATGACTACTTCAAACTACAGAGTAGTTTACAAATCCTAACCTGCTCATAGCCGATGTCATCGTCAGGGCGGCATGAGCCGGATGTCGCACTATTTTTTAACGTGTTCACACCTCGAATTGAAATCGTACTCATGATTTACGAACTACGGAGTAAGACTTAGTGAGCAGCAGAAACTAATCCAGACAAAACACTCCTTAATTATCAGGTACAGCCGATTCATAAGGAGCAGTCAATCTGGCTAAAAATTATGATGTAAGACTCGTGTACACCATAACATGTTGAAAAAGCTCTTGCTTCTCATCGACTGCAGTCAAAAGAGTAATGAAGAAGGCCCTTTAACGGCTACAATTAAACATTATCTAATTAAACAAACAAAAACATCCTCCTGTTATTTTTCTTACCAAAAACACAAATTAAACGACGTGGCTTTAAAAACCCAGCAAAACACGCTAAGGCAAGACAAGAAAAAACCTCAGTATTGGACTAAGTACACTCGAATGAGCCAAATTTAGAATTTTGTAGAAACACCCAAAGCATTTGAGGAAAAATACGAACCGTTCAACTGTTGTTTTTTATGACGCTGGACAAAGTGATGTAATGGCAGCCAGAAAACAGAACAAATACAGGCAGAGACGAATGATACGGCCGATTAAAAGTCATGTAAGTAAATGGAACCTCATTAGCAAAACGAGAAGATAGTCTGCAACACACCAGCAAGGATCGATATTCTTCAAGGCGTATATTTTGTAAGCTTTAAAAAGGTAAAAAGTGCAGTAATTTAAAATTAAATTGAGGTATCCACAATTTTTATCCATCCCATTTCATCCAAAAAAATTCGTTCGAGCCAGACCGATACACATTACACAAGTAAAATTGTTTTTACCTCACGTAACAATGCGCAGTAGCTAGGCCAAATTAGAAAATTTAGTTGATGTTCCCAAAAAAAACGCAAATTCTTCACTCAACTTTTCAGCGGAATATTTATCGGCCGAAAAGCTCCATATGGCACGAACAATTGACAAATAGCAGAATCTGAAATAAAAAGCAAAAAATTTCAAGCACTATCAATTGTTACTGACCCTTCTACATGAGAACGGCGGGCAGAGTTGTCGTCTGCTAATAAAAACAAATCTTCCTGTACCATCACCCTCTTCAGACCTGTTTATTTAAAAAAATTTCAAATTGAAATGATTCACTATCCATAGGATGAACCAAGAAAAAAATGGCACTCTTGCAAATAGCAAATATGCACGCAACGCGTTGCCGGTGGGTGAGGCTACGAATAACACAGTCCCGCCTACCAGCCAAACGTACAGTTTTTTTGTTTGGATTCCTAAATAGGCGTAAAATCCGCTGAGCACTGATCGTTTCGGGATTTCACTTAGACAGAAGCATCGCTAAAAACCGCCCAATGAGCATTGCTGGATGTTGCAGCAGCTAAAATCACGAAATTCCGGAAAACATGCCAACAGTGGATGAAAAATTGATGGCATCATCACTGCACAAAATATGAGAAAAAAAAAGGGAATAAGAGAAACTATGATTTCGAAGGCTGAAAGAAAGTTGATGAGCCACTGAACGAAGGATAAAGGGAATGCAAAAGCTGAGGAGAAAGTGACGGAAGCAAAAGAAACAGGGAAAAGAAATGATGGGTTGCATTTTAATTGTCAAAATTATAGAAAGTTTAAACAGATACAATTTTTCTTCTGTAATCTCATTTAAGTAAAAACGTTTATGTAGCAAATGCTTCCCTCTACTTTCCTATTTGAAATTATTTTAAAAGAGAACCATAGTTAGAGGTCAGTAAGGTAGCGCCAAAGAAAGTGGTGACAGTATGAGGCAATATTATTAGTTAACTGCAAAAATTGCAAAGTGACATCTCGCTTCTTTTTACTTTTTTTTTTCTTTTTTGCGATGGTGGTACTAGTGTGAATTTTGAACCTTTAAACTGTAATAATGAGGTACACGTAACATCGGAAACTTATATGTGCTTGAACAAAAATTAAAAGTCTCTGAAGCAGAAAGTCTTAGTTTTATTGTA